ACGTGAAAAGACCCAGGAAAACCGAGTAAACGATAAAAACGATAACAAAATAACGCTGAAAACCGATAAAAACCCTGAAAACCATACATTTCACACCTGAGCCTCAACTCTCGCGGCCTGGTACCAAACGACTCCCGGACCCGAGGCCCGGGGGTTGGGGACCGCTGCTATAACTTAAAACATCTATCCAGTGAACCATCAGCCTGGGTGGGCCAGGTAGCAGGAACTGCAACTCAGCTTAACTTCTGTGTACGTCTACAATGATATGAGTGACTTTTTAGTCACCCCATTTAATGTTTTCCAACCTAATTTTAAGCTGAAAGTGAAACCTGGACACAAAAACAGGACTGGCATGTAACACAAAGTGTAGCAACCTTGTCCCCCTGTTAAATTCAAACCCAGCCATCATTCCCCCTCCCCTGAGTTCCACCCCATCTGTTCCTCTGGTAGAAAAGTGAGGCAAGAGGGGGAAGGAGGAGAAATAGGGGTTGGGGAAGTGAGGTGAGGATAAAATCAGGATTCGATCTTCAGATAGAGGAGGTACAGATGATGGTTAAAAGGTGGTGGGTGTTTTGCATGTGAAAGGAGCAACAGAGTGAGTGAGGAGGAAAGCCAAAATCCAGTTGTCAACCACTTGACAAATTGCTTGTTTGGTTCTTCTGAATGTGCAAGTAGTCTTATAAGCAGATGTGGCTGTAAAATGACTGGAGACAATTTTGTTGACAGGTTGTAACAACATCACACCATATTTTGTGTGAATGTGTGAAGCTGGAACTTGTGATCGCTGTAAAATGAGGACGTTTGAAACCGAATAAAAGAACTCTGCTGCCGCTGATGTAGCTATCAAAAGGCTTTCGGTAACAGCAACAGTGCATAACTCCTTTCGGACTAATTAAACGTCTGGTTTCTGCAAAGGTTTAACTTATCAAGTGTACCAAGCAATGTTAGTTTAATTTCAAGAAACAGTGTCTTCTTACATTTGATCACCCACACTGCGATTCTACAAATGTTAGTTTTCAGAGAAACTACTTTGCGCTGAATAAATACTTCCAGTACAAAAAAATCAGCACAGCGAGATTTTTTTCCTCCTTTAAAGTGCATCTTGAATATACAATAAAACACAAAGATAGCTCAAGCATTAGGTGTTCTTATCTGCCTCTAGCCCAGTATTCAGACTGCTTTACGTTTCTTATTTCCTCCCTTTGTTTGTCTGCCATGGCACGCACAACTCCTGTCACTTTCCCAGGCTTGTAAATGAAAGTGGTGGCCTGGTAGTCACTTCTGTGCGGCCATGCATAAGAGAACCTCCTCCCTCCCCCCTTGACCTGCAGTTGCCACTCAGACTGACATGTCTTGTTTTGTCTCCAAAATTCCTCCTTAGCCAAAGGTCAAGGTTCAGTTTGCAGCGGGTGGGAGATTCCCCTGCCACATATGGAAGCAAATTAGCGAACTGACTGGATTTGTTGGGAAGGTTGCTTGTGGTATGACAAACATATCCTCCTCCACACTCACAGTATTTGTTTATCAGGTATTTAGTCAATACCTAAATTCTGCATTATGCATGAGGCTACACAATACTTAATTACACTTGCATGATTTGGATTCCTCATTCAAATTAGGCTGTTTGATACATGGGGTATTCTCTAGAGAAGATATGTAATTACTGTACTATTTCTATTTGGCATAGAAACTCCTGCTTGCATCTATAAACAAGAAGAAATGTGAAGGCAAAGATACTTGTTCTGCCATCTAAAAATATGGTTTTAGTCCACACTTACACAGTTTTCAATCACACAAATGGAGTTTCTTCTTCTCCACAGTATAATGAGAGCATGAAGGCTTGGGTTTATGAATTCAAAATCCTATTTACCTTTCTACTACATTAAAGATCCTTAGCGAGGAGCACTTTGCGCCAAACTATTTGATGATAAAACCTTTGAAATAATGATTTAAATTTGAAATTGAGAAGCAGTCGCAAAGGATTCAGTCAGTATTTTTCCCTTTTGAGCCAAACTTCTTCATCTGGGGGCAAGAAGAGAAGCAGAAAGGATGGACGGGAGGAAGAGAGACGTGTACGAGGACATCTGTGTGTGTATGAGTTTGTACGTTTTAATTGTAATGGGGGTGTACATGTGTATGCATTTGCAAACTCAATGTTTGTGAGCATCGCCGTGCATTCCTGTGTGTAGTTTGTCTCTTGCCGAGTGCTTGATTTTTTTGAACCACTGTAAACACACCAGAGCCTTGTTAACGATGCCACTCAGAGTTAATGCTCAAAACAACTTTCAACTGAAAATCCGCTTTTCAGGAAAGTCTGAATTCCACGCTTATTACTGCAGAATAAATGCTGATCCGCACTCCACCTCAACGTGGCGTCGGAAATCTTTGGCAGAAACTACAAATTCCCTTTTTAAACATAGCACAGAGTGTGTGTACACCAGGTAAACTGTATTTCCATAAACTGTCATTTTAGGATGCACTCTCGCCCCACGCACGTCAAAATTTCCACGGTAGGTTGCTGACAAGGGGTGGGGGGGACATTTGCAGTACGTGGAATAAATCCTATGTTTTCTTTTTCTGCTGTTAAAATATATCTGACATATTCAAGGAGTGAAAGAAATGCAACAGAGACATGCATCCGCTACCAGTAAAACCCACAAAGATGCCTCAAAAAACTTCATATGGATGCTGACAACAGTGCACTGTGTGTTGAGGTTGCCCTCTGCTGGGCTCTCTTTTGCAACTTTGGAAGATAAGTTTAACTGCTTCAATGCACAATGTAATGTTACTAGATTAACATTTTAACAGAGCATTTACACCAGACTTCACTTCATAGAGGGAGGTGCTAAGCTATAGGCTGCCGAAGGTGCAGAACAGTTTGACAAAGATTAAATGCTGGCGTAGATGCATAAGTAATTGGAAGGATGGGAATGTAAATACCTCAGAGCAAATTTATTATTATCAGGAGACTGACTTCTTGCTCTTATTGCATTTGCTGTTTAGAATAAGAAGAAATAATAGCTTCATATTTTACTCTGAAAGTTGTTGTGTTTTTTTTTTTAAATATTTGCATGTTAATAGCTGTAAAAAACCTATTCAAACTACCATAAGAGCCCTCAATCAATCATAGCAGCGTACTTATGATAAGGAGCACAATTCCACTTTTGTATGTATCCTGTGGAGCGTCGCCTTGACTTTGAGAACAGATTAATAAAAGAAAACCTGCCCGGAAATGAATAGGTGTGGAGCCTTTGCACATTGCATTGCCTTTGTCTTTGATTTGATTGTTGTTACACAATGCTTGAGCTATTTGATGTCAAGACATCGGGAAATTCGAAGATTTGATCACAAGTAAAATCAGTGAAGAAAACTAGCATAAAAATGATTGCCTATGATTTTCTGATGATTGTCTTATTACAGATTTGCTATGTGAAAAGTGACTCCGGAAATCTCCCTTTGTGTCGGATAATTGGTTTAAACAGTGTTTAGACCTTTTGATTAAGTAAGAATTATTATCATACTTAAGCAGCTTAACTGTTGTGCACCGCTTAAAAGTCCCCAAATTATATTTATAATATACAATTGAGGTTTTTTTTTTCCAGATTAATACAACCTAAATTATTTTGGATCAATGGATCATAGTTACTGGTAAATAAAGAATCACTGATGTGCATTTATCTATTTCATATTTCAGCTGTTTTCAGTTTTAATTCCTGAGATGTTGCTTGATAGATTAATTGATAATAATATGATTAATCTGCAACATAATAAGAAATACAAGTTTTCAAATAAATATTAATAGTAGAATAAATAGATTAAGGAGATTAAACGTTTACTTCAGCAAAATACTCAGTTAGTACTGAGCTATCATCCAAAGGTATTAGGTACTGTAAGGTTAAGCAGATAAGACTAAAGGGCATAGATCCCAAAGAAGGCACAAAGCGCGCACACAACAGAAGGTAAACAGACACTCTGACAAAGGATTGAAGGGAAGGGCAGGGCTATGAATACACTTAAGGGTAATAAGGGAGAATGGAAACAGCTGGGGAAGAAGAGGCAGGTGAAGTAAATCCATAAATAATGATACAGGATGTAAAACAGAAGGTAAGACACACAAAACAGGGAAACTCAAAAGGTAAAATGAAACTGCATTTCAAAAGTAAGAATAAAGAAGCTTAAACTTACCCCCCTCCCCCCCAATGGAAAACAAACAAACAAAAAACCCATAAGAAAATACTATACAAAAGCTCAAAAGGTCCATGACGCAGCAGCTTGTTGAACTAATCCCTTGACAAATGCAAAAACACATAATTGTATGATCCTCATTTGAAATAACACCAGAAATCATTTATTTCCATGTTTTAAGAAAAAAAATCCCTTGGAGACATATAAATAAGGCAACAGTATTCAAAGTTATTTTTATGTCTTGGAAGAGTTTGGGGATTTTCGGTATATGGATGTGCTGCGGGAGTTTCATCCCATTCTCCAGTTTCTAAAGTGCCTCCCATGTGAATTGCAACGACACAGGTTTTTGTATTTCTCTGGGGCTGCTGCAGCTTCATCAGCATGACTGATCTCATTTATCATAGTCGCATTCAAAGAGGCCCGAGGTGTAGGGAAGGGAGTTTCAACGGCAGTACCATCAGTGCAAAAGCACAGATCAGTGAGCTGCTGGGGACCATATGAATGCATGAATAACAGTTTGTATTTAGGATTTTGCTGCATGTGAAATTCCAGGATGGAGGAGGTGTATGGTGCCTCATAATGGGATAAACAAACAGATCAAATGGCTGCACTGCACTGCATCATCTTATGTACTGAATTCAACATTCCTGTGTCCATATTTTATGCTGAGATTTGCAGAATAAAAGCTGATTTTATTCAAACAACAATACCCTGGGTATATGTAAGTGATTTCTCTTGATTGTTAATATTACAATATAGTAATAGAATTAAATCTCTTTAATCTTACAAGAAAAAACAAAACATTATCTCAAAAAACAAGCAGAGGTATGAGCAGACAGAGAAGCTCCTTCTATAGCTGTGTGAGTACACTCATCATCCCATGATAACCCTCTATGTAGCTCCACTTACCGCAACATTTTGTTCCTTTGCTTGTAATTGATTTCTACTTTAATTTATTAATATAGCCTATAGAGCGCCTGCAGCACAATGCTAGTTATCTGGGGCCCACCAGGAGCCTAATCTCTTAAGATGAGCTGAATTAATAAGCGTCTTCAAGTAACATATTGATTACAGAATCAATGCCTGTTTCTTTGCATCATGCTCAAATCATTATTATAAAATATAACAGTATTGTGGCACCTTGTTCAATCGTTTTACTTCAGTGCGCATTTCAAAAGGCTCTCTTTTGATTGATAGTGTGTCTTACATAATGAGAGGGCATTCAAAAATACGATGTCTTGATAGTTGTTTTCCACCACCTCCAGGTTGTTATTGATAGGGGTTATCTGATTCCCTCAGCCAAAAAACCCTATTGTAGTGGAAGAGTTGCTCTTAACTTTTAAGGGTTTTTAATAAAGATGAAGTTTCATGGCTTCCAGGTCACTTCTTTCGTTCTTTCTTTCATGCCTACAGGCAGATGTGGATTTCTACAAGTATAATTTACAGGAATTGAGAGTTTCGTGCAAATATAGAATTATCAAATCATCCAGTCGTGCCAATAGGGACTAGTACTGTATATCTACACCTCGATCATCAATCTAAGTTGAGAGAATAATGTTGTATCCCTTCCAGGCACATACTGTACCAAAAAGAAACAATCCGAGGATACAAATCTGATGTCTTTTTTTTCTTCAATATTGTTACGTCAAAGGAAAGATGCTTTCAATCTGTAATTTTACCCAGAAACCAGCTCTTCCACTTTGAGCAAAATTCTATTTTTATACACTCATAATACCACAAATCTTCTTAGAGGTTTTCTTAAGATTACATGTGACATAAGAAGTCACTTCACAGTACGCACAAGCCTGTTTTAATGTTATTTTGCACATTTGCCATTTGAAAGCATTTTCCTACACAGTGCACTTACAGTAAGCACATCAAATATCATTTTGAGCAGCTCAGCAAAACATTTATTGGCTTTATCTACATTATACATACATGTATTCTCTGAATATCTTAATAATAGGAAGTCCTTTAGGATTGTTTTTGTGGCAGAATGCATTCAGCACTGCTCCGAAAAAGAGAAAAGGAATGAAAAAGCAGCTGTTACATATATAAATAACACACCTCGGTGAAAATTAGCCAACAAAATTCAAAATTGTTGTTGTCTCCTAGAAATTAGTCAGTTATTGCAGCTTGACAATATGTGTACATAAAACGAAATCAGTAGATCACATATGCAAACTTTAGCAAGCTCTATCACATCTCTGCTGCAACACTCTCAGCGGGTTAGTTTGAGTGCAGTGGGATGAACATTGCAGATATCAAACCAATGCTGATCCACCTCCTTATGTGGCAGCAGGCCATTTCGTGGCAGAAAGGGCCGTCGCCAGCGATCACGACTGCCCACTACTTGCCAGAAGCGTATGCCCTTGAGTAGAAAGATGGCATTGTGAGTGTAGGAGAAGTAGGCAGCGTCAATGTTGCCATCTGGATGGTCTGTGTTCACCACAGGAGGGAAAACATCTCTGATGTTTTTTGGGAACCCTCTTGCCAAGTTGTTGGCTTCCATGCTGAATGCATACACCTGTTCAAAGAGATAATTGCTCTTTTTTTTGTTATGCAGAAATCAATTCAATTATACAATGCAAACAATTCACAGAGGAACTTTAGTGCATTTGTTTGCTTGAAGACATTCCCTCATAATCCTAAGAAACAATTAATTAGCTTGGGTTTTCTCCAGGACTCTGCTTTTTATATCTGCATGTTCTGCTAATCGGTATTGCTAGATTGCAAACCACAGATGGAAACAGTTTGATTAATGACCATTAAGCCTAAGCCACATTTTAAGTCTAAATAATGTATAATGTATAATGGTCTGTGTGTTTTAATATCGAACCACATCATTCCAACTTGTCATTTAAGCACTTCATGAATATTTCCTAATTTACTTTCTTACTGAACCTCATGTCTTTGCTCTTGTATCAGTGTAATAATATCTGACAGCCAGGTAATATTGCACTTACAAGATTGTTTTTAAAGAAGTAGATGTGGGAGTCCCTCCTGTCATAAAAGGCTGTGTCAATAGGACTTGGCACCCCTGGGAATCCTTCAGAGATTAACCTCGGATAATGGTGGCCTTCAGAGTCTTGTCCAAACACCTGGTCGTTCTCACTATCATACCTCCAGAACTGAGTACCTGTAGATAAATAAGTTAATTACATTTTCACCAAGTATTCATTCGTTCACTAACTCTTTTCAAACAGTATAACTCTCCACTTAGTGTACCTCTGAAGAAATATACAGCATCTCTTCTCCTGGACCAGACATGGACATGTGCATCTACTCCATCCATTGGGATCCCATGCCAGCCAGTTTGCAGCGGAACTGGATCACCATAACGCGTTCTATTATTTCTGTTCTCGTACAGCCAGTACCAGCCATCTCTCATGAAATAGGTGTTAAAGCGGATCACCACCTCCCCATAGGGTGTCTTCTCCTTTCTGATCCAATCAAACACCGTGTTGAATCGACCTTTACAGCCTCCTGGTGTCAAATGCAAGCACAACAGGTGGGGCAAAAAAAAGGATTTGCGTCAGACAATTAGGGCAAAAATACAGCAAAGTGCATTTCTCTAAGAGTGTATAAGTAACCACTAGATGGTGCTGTAACCATGTACCATAGAGTTGCTGTATAGCTTTTCTGTCCATCCAGTCCATTTCAAAGCTGGACTCCTGCGGTAGATAGCTGGGCTGCATTATGGATCCGAGTCTATATATGTGAGGTAGACCCAAAACATGGCCAATCTCATGAACTGCTACCTGAACGGGTTTAATATTTTTAAGGCGTTGTTAGAGCAATGCGTTGTTAATCACTGGAATTATTTAAATCTGGCAGTTCCTTTGATCGTGCAGTAATATAATTACTTTGAGAAGGCTGATTCCACTGCCAACATTGGGAGTTGTGAAGTGCTCATCATCATCAAAGTGTATATCACCCAGGAACCAAGCATGGGCAAATTCTTGACCAGTGCCATCGAACTTCTGATTACATCCCAGATGCCTTCCTATGAAAGAATTTCACAACGATGCAATATGTTATTTAGCACAAAAAAGAGGTACAGTGGAAACATTAATGATCCTCTTCAGACATACATACACACGACCCTAAGAAGGGCCAGTCTAAGAAGACTGGTGGTGGTTTACTTAGTTTTTGTGTTTAATGAGCCTCATTAACAGATGTTTTATTAGTCTTAAACATATATGTGGCCAAGGAGATAACATCCTTTAACTTTTTTATCCTGAAATGAGAAATTAACCTTCACAGACTAGTGATGTGAAAGATCAAATCTAAACATTCCACATTTTATTCAGAAAAATAGTGATTTACATATCCACCTAACAAGTGAAAGATCCCCAGTGTCATCTCAGGAGAAGACACAAATCCTTTTGGGGTTGTGTCAGGAAGGGCATCTGGCATAAATCTCTGCCAAACCAGACATGCGGAGCTACCTGCTGTGGCCCCTGTGAATAAAGGAGCAGCCAAAAGTAGCTTTCATGCTGCAATGAAGTTCATAAACATTGACTAAAACCCACCTGTACCAAATCCCAGCCTGATGTCAACATCCTCCAATGGGGCATGTGTATCCTCCACAAATTCCAGTGGCGACACTTCACTCCACATCCTGAAAGCCAGTCTGAAGATGTATCTCTGGTCGTCAATAGTCAGCTGGCTGCTGTAGCCTTCTCCTATCAGCCGCCAGTTTAACACCTTCTTGGAAAAAGCCATGTGGCCAGTTGGAGTCAAATCTCTCTTCCGCCTGCTTTTGGATATGAGACTTGCGAGAGGTTCCTTCTTGCGTCTCACTGCTTCACTCGGATGCGCGTTCGCACTGATATTTCCCGTTTGGCTGCCCGGTCTGCTGTCGTGCGAGCTGTTTAGGGAAGTGATCTTTAAAAGCTCCGTTGTATAATTCATGCTGGTGTCATTGGAAATGGCTGTGAACACACCGTCTGTATCATTAAAATTTAATATGTCGTCTTCAGAGAAATTTGCAGTACCTAAAGAAGTGCCACTGATTATGTCACTTGCTGTGTTGTTCCTGTTGGTCTCAGTAAAACTGTCAGTGGTACTGTTTTCAAAATCAAAGTCACCACTGCTCTGAGGTGCTGTAGTGATGACAGGGATGGTCAGACCAGTCTCTTTATCAGGGACTCCACACCTTGGTTTGTTCATTGCTAACTTGGTGGCCTCATCAAACACCCCTGTAACAGGCAGACCTGAAACCCTCTGAAACTCTTTAAGTGCTGAAATAAAGGCTTGGTTCTCATTTTGACGGTTATAGCCCTGCTGACCACCAGCTCGATGAGCAGCCCTCGAGTAAGACGCTGAGGTTCCCTCCTGGATTGTGGCTTGAAGATCGTCGAGGAAGTCACCACTGAAAGAGGTGTCTGAATCCTCAAACCGAACCTCCTCCCAGTTAACTGGCTTGATGAATCCATATCTAGAGAGAAATAACTAAAACAAGACACGGGTTACATTAGACAAATCCTGTGTCTGGTTAAATGGATGCTGACGTTTGAGAAACACAGGAAGTCAAACAAGAAGAACAAAAACAATATACCTCAGCTGTGTACTTGTCTGTTATAGCCTGAGCTTTGTGAGAATTAAGTGTCTGCGTATCAGAATGATCCCGATTATGGAAAAGTTTCTCTGCATCAGTTGTGCTAATGTTGGTCAAAAAGAACATAAATATCAGCTGGATTAAATTCAGCATCGTGGCCTTTAGCGGTGTACTCCTGGGTCTATATGCAAGATGAGATGATGACGAGTGAGGAGCAACGCTGCTTTATAAGCAAATCCTTTGCTTCTCCACACCCCTCAGAGGTGTGACTCTACAGATGTAACCTGCTTTCTTCACCTCTGCGTGAAAAGTAAACTTTTACAATCTACAACTGCTCAATTTGACTCTTTCTCTGTGGTTATGTTATACAAGCTTCAGTGGTTTTAAATGGACTGCAGCTGATCCGTGGAAAGATGTTAAAACCTTCACTTTCATGTGGACAGTAAAAGACAGGGGTGACCCCTGCAAGCACTGTGTTGAACAGGAAATAAACACACAAACACACACAAGCAATTACCACAGACAAAAGCTTCAATATTATCACAATGATTGCCTTTTATTTTCTCAGTCATTTTCTTACATCATATAAAGCAAATTATAATTTTATCTTAGACTTTCCTGGCTCTGGTGCTGCAAAAAATAACTTTTTTCTTTCAGTGCAAAAATAGCAGAATCATGTGTCCAACAACAATAAAGATGAGCAGTAAAGCAGTAAAACACACAAATAACAGTACATATTTACATATATAATAACAACAAACACCAAAGATGAGGCAGGTGGATTTTAAAAGCTGGTCACTGCAGAGTTTTAGCTATTGCTATCGCCAGGTGTTCAGCTGTTGGCTTTTCTGCAGTGCAGCTGACACAAAGGCCTTCTGCTGCTATTGCATCTTGTGTAGTAGGCCCTATGGCTGCAAACTGGAAACAAAGACATTTATGTGAGTAAAGCTCTGTTAAGCACTTCAGATTCATGCATTATTTAAATCTATTTGTGTATGACTGTGAGGAAGATGCACCTTTATTTGAGTCAGCTGTTCAGCCGAGAGCCTCCGCACCACTTCAAGGCAAAACTTCACTCCTGATGGACTGAAGAAAGCTATGCTTGCTGGAATGCCCTATAAGCACACAAACAAATGAACAGCTGCTATATTGAAACAAATAAATAAATACAAGCAATAAGAATGACACTTTACCTGCTCTGTGAAATAGTTCTTTAGATTTTTCTCCAGATTGGGATGCTCTGCTGTTTGATAGACAGTTAATGTCTCTAGGGGCACTCCTGGAAACAAAGAAACAGATCCCAACAGTGATAAAGATAGTGCAATTATTATTTTATAATTAGAATAATCCCAGTGGGAATTTTATCACCTTGACTTTTAATTGTCAGGCACAACAGGGGGAATGCTTACCATTTTCCCTTAAAGCCGTGGGCAAGACTTCCCTTTTGATTGAGCCACAGGGGAAAAAAAGCGGTGGGATATTGGTGGCCTCTCCTATGACGGGAATTATACGTGAGATCATATGAATAATAAGAGCAATCATAAAATTACTATTAAAATTAAACTGTGAGGAATGTGAGACTCCAAATTTACGCCGTACGTTCAATAATAAGTCGTGATAGCACCTCTGCTGTCCCTGTGTCCTCTCCCAAAGGGTTCAGACCTAGATTCTGTACTGTATGGGATAAAAATCATGAAAAGGAAAAAAATTGATAAGCTTTACAGTAATGTGGTAAATTCTTGAACCCCCCCACATTTCATTATATTTTGCTAGAAAATGGAAAATAGGTGCAGCGATGTTTTTAAAAGCAGAAAACACTAAAAAGACATTAGGGTCTAGTCTTTTCTAAGTTATCTGCTATGTGTAGACACAACAATTGTTCATTCCTTGACTTGGGTGCATTTTTTTTTTATACTTGATGCATTCATAGGCCAGTGTTAAGTGGCTTAACAACCAAACCACATTCCTCTGAAAATGGCACAGTACAAAGCCTGGATTGAAAATAAGTGGAAAAACCAGCAAATGTCAAAAGACAAATTTGAAAGACTTTCTGAAAGCCTGGATGAGTAACTCAAGAGCACTTTGAAAAATTACAAGGACGTCTGAGTCCTTGGAAGTAAAATATAAAGAAATGAGGGTGGCTCAATACTTTTGCACAGTCTGCTAAATACTGACATAAGAGTGTGGCAGTGAAAACACATTCAATCGTTTCAGCTAATTCAATGACTAAATTAGAAACTCACTGAGAGACTCAAAATAAAAACCCACTGTCAAATGTTACTGAAAAGAAGAAGCTAAAGCACACATGTAGAAAGTGTTGCACCTGCTTGTTTTGTAAAGACACAGAACAATCACTAACGGCAAACTGTCACTTGTGTATAACAAATGGCTGAAGGTAGACAAAGCATTTCACACATCACTATGAGCACCAGGTGCCCGACACACTCTGGTGCAATTAGCACGAGTTTACAAGGAGCTCAAGACGCAAAGGAGGATTCTGGGAGAAATTACCTTTGTCCATAGATGTGACTCACCTAATGAAGCGGTGGCCTTCCCAACCACATAGATGGACTTGGTGTTCCATTTGTTTTTCACTGCTTTGTGCCATTCTCAAAAGCACAACATACACTGGGCATTACAGAAATGTACTACACAAACTTAACTTGTATTTTTAAGATCTTTACCAAAAAAAGTCATTTATATCAATGATATACAGAAGCTTGGAGAAAAGTAATGTTTATCACCTTCCCTTCTTTCATCCGCTTCCAAACACATCCTTACAGCCTCCACTGCTCTTGGACTGGTAAATATGAGCCCACCGTATTTCTCTGGTTGGAAAAGCTGGAATAAGCAACAAATACATAAATCCATTGAATATGCAAACTGTTAAAATGAACGAATTAATGAAAGGAAAATGGAACAACAATTTACCTTATCTGTCAAAGTGTTTAATGACACAAACTTAAAAGACAGCACCGGAAGTAGGGTTCCTTTATGTCCTCGTGATTCCAGCTCCTTCGGAGTGAAAATAATAACTGTTCAACTGACAAATTTTAAGAAACTGGTTAAAGGTTAGTTGATTTAACTGTAAAGGGCGTGTACCTTAATATAGGGATCAGGTCCAGACTCTCCATGTTTTGGTTCTTTAAGCAGCAATACACGCATCTTGAAACACTGGATTATTAAAATAACAAAGATGGTTAATTCCGAACAAACTAAGGTAAAATAGGTTTACTAAGGTCTGCAATAATGTAAAGTCACAGGCTTAAAGCTTCAAAAACACTGAGGACAGTGGGTGTGAAGGCACTTTAAGCAACGTTACACCCTAAAACGGTCACATGCTGATAAGACTGTTGTTGAGTCACGATCATAAGACTGTACATGAACAGCGAATAAATTAAGCGAATGGGCCATTTTAGTTGAAAGTGTATGTTTAGTGTCTTCTTCCGTAAGAGTGTTCTTGTTTACCCTAGCAAGAGACGGTGCATGACAGACTATCTACGGTAGCCATTAACAGAACCTGTCTGTGATAATGTGTGATAGAGGCGAATATTTTATCCGCGTATAGCTACAGTGACACGAAGTACAAACGGTGAAAAAGACGAAATATTAGGCAAAATTTATGTACCTCTAGTGTTCATTCAGACTTTCATCATCCACGGTCGAGGAGGGGAGACAGAACACTGTCTAATTTACTAACCTTGTAAAATAATCGTATTACAAGTAATATTACAAGAATGTGTTTATTTAATTTAAAAATATAGTATCAATAATTTAAATTAATATCGACTACACGTGACAAAGAGTTCGGGGGCATCTGAATTTATTTTCGTCCCCGTTTTATAGAATGGTTTATTCCATTTCACCAACAGGCGACAAGCCGACATTGAAGCTCTGAATGTGGATTTAATAAGCTGCAAGCCGTGTATATGTGGAGCCATAATGGCGGCTTCAGGGTTTTAGTTTCGTAGCTGATAGTTGCTAGTCTTTGCCCCGCCCACTTAGTAGACACGTGTGTTTTAAGTTTGCAGCATGGCTTCATTGGCTAAGAAAAGGGCAGTAGGTTTTGGTGAAAAACCCGAGGAAAGTGACAACAGCTCCGATGAGAATCCAGAGGAGGAAGACGATTCCGGAGAAGAGGACAGTGAGGCGTCAGATGAGGAAATTAATGAGGTAAAAGAACAAACACGTCTTAGAAGGGAGGCATGGCCTTGCTAACTAGTTAGCTAAGTCAGCAGTAGGGCTAATGTGAACGGGAATGCTCATGAAAATACTTTTTTGGTTAATCATGTGAGAAAATAAATAACTAATATACTAGAAAATGTTATTTCGAAGATGCTGTACTTGAATACGCTGTAATAAGTTAACCCTGTGGAACTCATATCGGAAAGTTTCGCACAACAAATCAGAGTATGGGTTACAATAAAACTTGCAATTACGACTTCTACGCTTTCAGGAGGTCGTTGTAGACTTTGAAGCTCACACCATCTCAGACAATGACTTCAACGGCATAAAGAAGCTGCTGCAGCAGGTTTGGGTTCACTATTGTTATTTCACGTTTCAAATACTGTGTGCAAGCAGCTGTCACTGACGTCATTTCTGTTATGTTTGGATCCAGCTTTTCTTAAAAGCTCATGTGAATACATCAGAGATGACAGACATCATCATCCAACAAAATCATGTTGGAAGTGTCGTCAAGGTGAGTAACTCGGTAGTTAAATATAAAAAGGATTTGTTCATTATTTTTGTTTATTTCTCCAGTTTCAAACCAAAAACAGCTGTGCTCAGAAGTTTACATACATGATCAAGGAAATATATGTCATGAAAATTTGGGCTTTCAGTGATTTCTTTGAACTGTTCATCTTAATGCAAACTATGCATACTGCACACATCTTAATGACTTAAAAAACTGCATTTGGGAGTACATGTTTGAATTTCTTTTGGAGTTTTATTAATCCAAATGGGATCAGAAGCAAACATGAGGAACCAAAGGGCTGAAATATATACATACATTTATTTAAATTTTTGATTAGGGGTGTTGAAGGTTATACAGTGTCTTGACTTGATGAGGCCAAGGCCTATTTATCTTATTTGTAATCATTATTTACTACAACTGGTAGTTTATTTTTAACAGCAATACTAGAGCAGTTATTCGAATGTGGGACTACTTTGCCAACATCTGGCCAAAGACCTAAACTGTCACCCTGAGATGAGTTGTTTTGGATGTTCAGGAACCACCAAAGTTCAAGCCGTGAACTGGAAACTGCTGGAACACCAGCGTCAATTCACTGTCCACAGAGAATCCTTTGAACCTAAGAACACTATACTTTCAAACATGGTGGTGGCAGCGTGATGCTCTGGAGCTGCTTTGCTGCTAACAGCATTGCTACATTGTACAAAGTGGATGGCAACATTAGGCTGGAATAAATTCAAATGTGTGCACCAAAGTGTTTTCTTTTTTAAAAGATTTATGTTGTGCAATCATTCCACCAGGAAAAGGAACAGAAAAAAAATCATTTAAAACCCAAGCTTGATATTCATGCTCATTCACATTCATTTCTTAGCAGCTGTTTATTTACTTGTCTCTCTACTATGCTCCAGCAAGCTGAGGTGCCCGAAGACAGCGACGATGATGACGACCCAGATGAAGTGTTTGGCTTCATCACCATGCTCAACCTCACAGAGAGAAAGGTCAGATGACTAGCAAACTAAAACGAATTAGTCTTAAATGGGCTGGAATATGTCAGTGTTTGTTTGTTTGTTTGTTTTTAAATATAAATTGTCATACCTACGTCTGGAACTGTTCACAGGGTGTACAATGTGTGGAGGAGGTGAAGGAGCTGATTGTGGATCAGTGTGAGAAGAATGCTTCTCATATTGTGACAGAACAGCTGGAGAAGATCTTTAATGATAACAGCAAGCCTGTGGGGCTGCTGCTAAGTGAGCGCTTCATCAATGTGCCTCCACAGATTGCCCTTCCACTGCACAAACAGCTCCAGTAAGTTCTGCTTTACCTTCTCATTCCATCTTTAGTGTTTTGTTATTGGAGTGAGAGCAGGTAGAAGATGGCCAGGATGGTGTTTGAAAACATTGAAATAAGACAGAACATGTGCAATACTTTGCAAATCTTATAAATCAGCATTTTATTCAAAGAATGTATGAAATATATCAAATGTTTAAACTGAGACCTTTTAGTATTGCATGAAATATATTGGCAGCAACACATCTTAAATGTTGGGACAGGTCCATGATTACTATAGTGTAGGATCCCCTCTTAACAACTATTGAACATCTGGGAACTGATATTTACCAGTTAACCTAATTGGCTATAAATGATTCCAGGTTTTTCTTTTTAATACCACTTACTTTTCCACCTTTTTATTGCTCTCATCCCAACGTTTTAATACATGTTGCGGTCATCAAATTCAAAATACTTTTTTTTAATTTATTTATTTTTATATGAAACATTTGATGTTTTTTGTTCTATTAATAAAATATGGTGGTGAGATTTGGAAATGATTCCATTCTGTATTTATTTTTAATAGAAACTAGAAAAACATCCATTTGTGTGGGTTAAAAGATTTTCATGTTATGGTCCTTTAGGGAAGAAATCGCTGAAGCTCAGAGGACAAATAAGCCCAGTGGGAGGTGCCACTACTGCCTGATTATCAGCAAGACCTGTAGAGAAGAGACCAAGAGCATCCCAGCCACAGGAGGAGCTCCCAAAGAGGAATACATGTTTGTCAATGCAGAGGAGGAATTCTTTTATGAGGTAAAGCGGGGGGGGAAACCTGCACAGAGTTCAAGGTTTTAACTAAATATTTATTATACACAACAGGGCTACTTACTTAACAGTATCTGGGTAATAATACAGCATTTCGTTAACTCATGTCAAACTTCAGATAAATATTTATTTAAACAGCCATCTGATAACCTATTCAATATATTTATACTCTGATTTCAAGCCTGGTCCGTGTTTGCCTTACAGCAAGCCATCTTGAAGTTCCACTACACAGTCCAAGAAGAGGCGGATTCCTGTTTAAGTGGGAGGTGGTCATTTACGGATGTGCCCATGAAGCCTTTTAGGACTGTGATGCTGATACCCACAGACAGAATGCCTGCCATCATGGAGAAACTCAAAGAATATCTATCAGTGTGACCTTCACAATAAACCAAGACACCTATGGACACAGTGACAGCTTTCAAGCTTCTGAAAAACATTCAGTATATTCAATTTTTGTACAGTTGGCTGTAGGAATGCGTGTATTCATATTTAGAATATGTAGGGCGATAGTTTACCCATTTTTAGAAATTTTAAAGACAGTTTGTACAAATTGTAAAGACATAGGGAATAATCACATACTTGAATACTGGAAGAAACTACATGCAACTGCATATCAAAGGTGTTTATAGGAAGACTTCAAAATGAGATGAGTTTGGTGTTAAGTTGTGGTAAACAGAAGAATGGGAGTAATGGCTACAGAGCAAATGAGTGGTATTGTAACACTGTAGGTATGTGGTTTTTAACATTCAGCTACGTGTTTCATCCCTTCAAGAGCAGACTTTCCTTGATGTACATTCTTAGATAAATGGGCAAAGCACAGTTATTCTGAGCAAGTTGTTTCATACGTATTTCAGCTTTAAAATCAGATCCTTGGATGTGAAGGTATACTGGATATATACTGCATAATAGGGAAGTACATAGGAGACAAATTACTTTTTACTCGAACATATTTTTTTTTGCCTGTGAGGTATATCAAATGACAGTGCGCATAAAGTCCACACCTAAGCAGTGTTGCGGAAAACCCCCTCACTCATTGTTTTTAGATCACAACTATTAAACTGCAAACTTTTCTATATTTACAGCACAGACATCTTTGCCTTCTCAGCACTGTAAGCACATTGGGTAGTACACATGAGTAATTTAATGTAATAAATTAAGCTTTACTGTATTAATTATACAAATGTCTTACAAGCATTCATGCATTTGCAGTCTAAATTTGTGATTTTTCAGTTTACTGAATCATACATCTGTCATACGTCTGTGTCACTGCTGCACAGCCACTGTTCACGTCACCACTTGTTGTTGCAGCTTCCTGTTTCTTCTCTTTGCGGTTTTTGGATCCATGTGGGTCCAACATGTCTTGCAGTATATCTTTGCTTTCGCTAGGGGGCAGATTGTAGAAGAAGTACAGTGGTGCAATTTCAATGAACCTAAAAGAGAAATTTGAAAACCAATATTAAATGTAAAACATTTGTGTCAACACAAGATATTGTGTAGATAAAGAGATTAAAAATATTCAAATTAAAATGAGATCAAATGGCTCATGCTTACTGCAGTAATAAACATGTTTGTTTTACCTCTGCACTACACGACAGGTAATCCTTGAGACCTCAGTTCTAATCTGTACACAACTGTTCTGATGGGGATTTGGGGGAAAATTGAATTGACTTACACTTGCGGGGAAATTTCCGAGACTATTCTCATGCAGTTTTCTGAAAGGATGTACTCATTGAAAACAACCCACTCAGGCAGTCCCAGCTTGTGTGACTGAGCCCCGTAGCAGGAGTGTGGGTGCACCTGGGCCATGTGCTTATGTGCAAGAATGAAGTAGTTGCCTGATCCGTCCACATCTCGAGCAATCTGGGAAAAGAACAGGCCTCGTAAACTTGAACACAATTGAATTGCTGGAGGCAAATTCATTGATATTGACATTTTGTTTTTCTGTACCTGCATGAAGAATCCAGCCAGCAGAGCTCTTTTGATGTTGTGAGTGTTAGTCTTGGTTCCAAAGGAGGGTTCAGAAATGGGGAGCTCAATTCTGTTCAGTGTGTCAGTCAACTCTGATCTAATGGAATCGGCTGTCCTCAACGCAGAATGATCTAGAAAATAGTCCTGGCACCACTTTTCAGTAGTCAAATCTGGGAGAAAACATCATGCACAGAGAGAGAAGCGCTGTGGTCAGCAGTATTTACGTCAAGTTTCTATCACAGTAAAAACAGTTTAATTCCTAATGCCTTTTAAATAGATCAGATTGAGTGGAAAAATGACAATGTGGAGGTAATTAATTAATTAATTCAAGAGTATCGTAATATGATTTACTAAAATTTCAAGCAGTTTGCCTCTCGGAATCGAAAGTTTGTTCTTGGGCTTAAATGAGAATGCATTTGGTATTAACATACACATTTTAGCTTTTTTTAAAAACATTTTTAATGTCTTCTTTTAACTGTTTTTTGCGTTAATTTTTAGAATAGAATCATTTATTCTGATCCATCTGGTTATAATTCTTCATGAAACTGAAATGTAACATCTGTCTCATAGGATAACACAGTCTTTGAATCTAGTTTTAATTTACCACAGTAGAGAACAAAGATCAAGTCACCAGTCATTTCATTAGGTACACCTGTTTCACCACCTGCTCATTGATGCAAATACCTTAATTTATCAAATCACATGGCAGCAGCAGCCCAATGCATTTAGGCATTGTCAAGGTGACCTAGCTGACGTTGGAAGCGAGCATCAGAATGAGGAAGAAAGATTAAGTGACTTTAAATGTAGTATGGTTGTTATACCTGACGGGCTGGTCTGAATATCTCAGAAGCTGCTGATTTTGCCAAAATGGGGATTTTTCCACACAACAATCTCTAGGGTTTACAAAGAATGGCCAAAACAGTAACAACAAGTGAGGGGCACACTGTTTCGACCTGATACAAAAGCAACAGTAACTCATATAAGCACTTGATTCAACCAAGGTATGCAGAAGATCATCTCTGAATGCACAAATGTTGAACTTTGAAGCAGCAGAAGACCACACCAGATTTAAGAGCAAAAAACAATTGAACTAAATTGCTACAATTTGCACAGGCTCAACAAAATTGGACAATGGAATACTAGGAATGTTGAGTCTGTTAAGCTTTGGTTTCTGCTCTGACATTTGGATGGCATAAACACCACGAATGCATTAATTCATCCTGCCCTGCATCAACAGTCCAGGCTGCTGGTCTAAGGGATATTTTCTTGGCACACTCTCCGCCCCTTACAACCAATCAAGCATCATTTAACTGCCGCGGCCTACTTGAGTATTGTTACTCACTGTGTCTATCCCTTTATGGCCACACTGTACTGGCTCATTATCTTGGCTGCTTCCAGCAGGATAATGTTCAAATAAATAAAGCTCAAATCCTCTTAAATCTGTTCCTTGAACATTACAGAGGAATGTTTCCAGCACCTTATTGAACCAATGCTATGAAGAAATAAAGCTGTAAGGTATAAATAATGAAGTGGCTGATGAGACTTATCTCTTGAAGAGAATAGATTGGTTCTGTTCAATGACAGTCTTACATTGTTCTCTCTGGTTTTGTTTGTAGGCGTTGTAGATGTTTATGAGGGTGAAGTGATCTCCTTCAGGGTGCTGGAACTTCCTGTGACACTGGACTGCCTCGTGGCTCATGGCAGCAGGCGGCTCCACAAAGCAGCTTGGTGCTAAAACACAACAACAAACAAGGTCGACTTCACTGAGAGAAACCACTCTCACCAAAGAGCATCAGAAACTGCAGATGAGCCAATACTACGCTGTCCACCTGGTGATTCTACAAACCAGTCAAAGGATCCTCACTTGTAACTAATCTTAAATTCTGGAGTGGGAAAATGTAAAACGTACGTACCTGACAACATGGCTGTGATTGTCAGCATCTCACTCACACAGTCAAACTCGCAGGATGCTAGCAGCGCTTTGGCCATCTGAGGTTCCAGAGGGATTTCAGACATTATGATGCCAATTTCAGACAAGTTGCCATCATCGTCTAAAGCTGCAAGGTAATCGAGCTCCTCCAGTGCCTGCATGAGACCCTCTGGATCTGCAACAACAAATGGAATATTTTAAAAATTCACACATTTCATTGCTATATCTATTAAGGGGGATAAAATCAACATCAATAGCAACTTGTGTCATCTGAATAATCAAAGACACACTCATCACAAATCAAATGCCTTCGGCTTTTATTTCTTTCCTATAGAGAAAATATAATTTATATAGCAAGTGCCTTTTGTCCCACATTTTCAAAAAAATATTACAGCACTTTTGGCATGGACTTCCTTTTCATTGTGCTCGTCTGGCACTGCAATACATGAGACATGTTGTGTAATCGTTAATGAGCTGGCCTCTTCTGTTCATGTTAGGGTGGGTCAGAGCACAGACAATGGTTAGTAGCTGGGCTGTCAGCTCAGCTAAGTCATGGATGACTGGGCTCAAACAGCTACACAGAGCCCTTCCTGAGTCAAAAACCTCCCACATGCGAATCTTTGGCTTGGGTTGTGAGAGAGATGCTGTTAGTGGGAACCAGTAAAAACTAAAATAAAGAACAAAACTTCTTGTTGTCCTGCATGTGTTCCAGTGGCAACACCTCTGGACAGATATTTTACCTGGTCTGTCGATGAAACTGCACTGTCCAAGGCCTGCTATCTCCATCCTTTTGAGGAAAAGAACTGTCGGTGTAATGTTGGACTCCAAGATCTGTGGGGAGTTCTCTGCAGAAGTTAGGCTTGCTTCTGGATACAGGCAGAAGCATTTACCTAGAGGAAAAAAATCAGTAAAACCGTTGCACTTAAATTTTGTGTTTGTTTATTTTGCTTTTTTTTTTAAATAATGCTGGGAAGTTTTTTCTTTGGCTTTCTTAAGTCCAAATATTAATTAATATTGTAATATGTCCAAATCTACAAGTATGAAAATTATCCAAATGAATGAAAGGATGATAAATTAACCAGTCTGCTTTAGTCTTTTCTGTTGTTTCTAACCCAAGAAGCATCAGATTTAGTTACCAAAGATGGCAGCTTACATTTTTTCAAAGAAGAAACTTTTTAGATAACTGCTTTAAGTATTGCCAAGTGAGGAGATGACATGACATTATACCTGATGGTCCAGACAGCTGCTTGCGAATGTCTGCCTGGCATTGACTGATGGGTTGAAGGACCTCTGAGCTAGCTCTTACTCTCGGATTGTACACCTTTACATAAAAGTAAAAACAGTGCTAATTAATATCAGAGGAATGCTCATTTAAGATTGCTACATCACTTTGGAATTAACTTACCATTTTCTTCTGGACTCCTGTGTCAATGACAAATTTGACAGACTCTGTAGCCCACCATGCATCCTCACCTTGACGGGTACTGAGAAAAACCTTTCTGGACTTTGTGGAGCATGACTGCTCAGGCAGGACAGGAAGTAGCCCTCCTTGGCCTGAGCACAGGACTACAAGTACCATTTGTCCCAACTGTCCACCCAACCTGGTCCCTTCTCTTTGGAGTATACTATAGGCACAGTGGACCTCCTGCAGGAGGTAGTGGAAGCGAAATTTAAACCAGATCACAACAGGCATTAGCACAGTGAAAGAGCTGTTTGAAATATAAAATCTTTTACCTCAGCTGAGCCTAAAAATACGAAAACATCTCCACCCTCTTTGGTCCGATGGATCTCCAGCACGAGTCTCAGTGCTGAGTAGAAGTAGTCTTTGTTGCCGTTGTTGCTGTGCACAACTTCAGCAGTGCATGAGGACTCTAGACTGATATGCAGGACACTGCCATAGTGTCTCAGAAGCTTGTTTGTCATGGGCGGCACAGTGAGAACCACCACCCTGAGCTCAGGCCTCTGCAGCAGGATGTCCTTGAGGAGACCCAGCAGAATGTCTGTGCTAACCGTCCTTTCATGGGCCTGGTCAATGATTATGACCCCGTAGTGCTCAAGAAAAGGGTCAGACATCATCTCTCTCAGCAACATATCATCAGTGCAGTACCTGATAAACCAAAGTGATCAGGAGGGTTAATAATAGAGGTTTATAAAACAGGAATAAGATACGGTCAATTTGTCACCATTTTGCTTGAGCCTGTTAGTTAAAAGTACACACAGCACAGCCCC